GCGCCAACCCGGCGGTGAGCGAGAGCCTTCCCTGGGCCGTGCGTCTGCGCAACGTCACCGTGGGCTACATCACGGCGGCCGGGCAGCCCGTTGTGCGACTCGCCTACGACGTCGCGCTGCCCGAGGGCCGCACCGTCGCTGACGTGTTCGCCGAGCCGTCGTTCGCCGATAAGCGGCGGCAGACGCGCGTGCTCGGACACACGCTCCTCCGCGACGACGACGTCTATGGACCCGCGTACCACTTCGTCGACTTTCTTCGCGGCGACCTAACCTCCGCCGACGCGGCCAATCGGCTGTCAGCGGCGTGGACGCGCGTGTTCGCGGGCACGAGCGACCGCCCCACCTCCGTCCAGTTGTACGTGTTCGAGCGCAGGGCGGCAACGGGCGGCGCGGGGCTGCCGCGCACCTCCGCGCGATACTTCCTCTTCCGGGACGGCCGCATTGTTGACCCGTCGTCGATCGGCGCCGATGACCTTGAGAAGGTCGCGGAGTACGTCGTCGCGGCGCCGCGCACGCGGCTGCAGCACGTGGTGACAGTCGGAGGCAGGGTGTCCGAGCGAGATCTGAACACGGCCGTCGCAGCGAATATGCTGCGGGTTCTCTGGGAGCAGGTTAACCCTGGTAAGTGTGGGGTAGTCAGCGCACACGGTGCTAGCACGGGGTGGAGACATTTATTAGTCATACGTGCTGTTGCTAACACAAGTAGAACAAGTGTGTACGGGCAATCGTGGCCTAATTATACATTCGGAGTAATTAATCTAAAAACAATTGAGACTCGTGCATGTTTTCACAAATATGCATATATGGTTAGTTCTGATTAATCTAGGTTTCATCAAGGTACAATTCGTTTTTTCATAACGATAATGATGATTCACTTATAAGAGTGCATGCATGTATTTTTAATTCCTAGTAACATTCTTCCTTAAATTTAATTTTCTGTTCATTTCATTTCTGTTTCAATTTTTTTATATTAGGATTTCCGTCTGTAGCAAGAACAGATCTGTTTTGGTAGTAATCACTCATAAGACAATGTATTTTCTTTAACAGCGCACAGTACTTTATAACACACGTGCATGAATACCTACAGGTAAATACCGATTGTACTGAATTTCCCCTATTGTTTTCCAGGCAAGACTTTCAACGTTTACAGCAAATACCTACAGGTAAATATCGATCGTAATGAATTTTCTCGATTGTTGTTTCCAGGCAAGACCTTCAACGTGTACATCACTCACTTCGACCAGCAGCTGGACAGCCTGGGTCGCCCCGTCACGCTCATACACTACGACGTCGAGACGCAGACGAGGCCCGGGGAGCGGCTGACCGATCCCGACGACGACGCGCTAACGATGATCATCGTCTACATCGCTGGCATTCCGTATCAGAGGTTTGAAGTGGATGCGGTTACCGGGGCGGTGAGGAGAGTCTGGCAGACAGCAAACCCTGGTGAGCAATTTGATAAACTACTTTGGTAGTGCGTACAAAGTGAACACAACAGATAAACAGATAAAAGTGAAAGTATCAGATAAACAGGAGCGTATCCAGATATATTTCAATGTGCAAATCTGTCTGCTCCTGCACATGCGTAACATATCATTCTATAAATGCATAATGTACTGTTTCTTACTCCATCTTTGACATCACTATATTATGTTCGTGCTATTCATTTTGTAATCAAAACGAATTATGTGTTATACAATATAATCCATGGTGATTAATTAATCCTACCTAATTTAACCTTTAATAAGTAAACTTTGTTTTCAATTTTTATAGGTGAGACAATTTACATCCATAATGCAGCAATCTTAGACAGGATAATAAACAACCTGCCAGGAACCTCTATTGTGTATGTCGTGTCTTACAATACGACAGACATTCAGCCTTCTACAGTTACCCCAGACCCTCAAGTACTGACTCGCAGCATTCTGGAAACCATGAAGGGACCCGGATGTCCACCGTCCATCTGTCTTGCAAACAGAGTGAGTACATCGCTGGAAAATCTGTACTTCACCACGTATCGTCATAGTGAATCCATTCTACTTTCAATCAGTGAGATATAACAAGCGTTTTTCCATAGAAGTGGTCTCCTATTTTTAATCGGTTGGTCTAAATGACCAAGCTGATCAGGTTATCTTTCTCATTGGTGGTAGGATCATTGCTAGTATTTGTACACATCGACTCTCTAATAGCGACGCAACTTTGGCAGATGGATTTTATCCCATAGTATTCTAGAAACAATAATCTCTTCGTGTATTTACCAAAGGTGAAGCCCCTATATGTGATAGCATCTACAGGACAAGTGAGGTTAAGCAGCCGAGAGTTCTCTGATGCTATGACTACTGCCTGGGAAAACAGCAATCCAGGAACGAGCAACAGTCTGCCGTGGAACATACAACTAGCTAATCTCGAGACAGGCTACATAACCGGAGATGGGCAACCTGCCATTGAGGTCAACTATGATGTCATGCTGCCTGCAGACAGATCAGTGGAAACCACGTTCAAAGAACCGTCGTTTGATCAGACGTCACAACAGATGAGATCACTTGGCTATGTGCTTGTTCGTCCTGGTGAGGTGTACGGAGATGATTACCACATCACAAGCATCGTACTTGGCCAGCTTCCATCAGCAGAGGCTGCCAACAGACTCGCTGGTGCATGGGATCAAGCATACAGGGAGCAGGGTCTGTCACCACGGCTACGGGTCTACCTGGTCAACACAGAGTCAGCAAGAACGAGTGACCGCCGGCCTGCGACGGCTGCAACATACTTCCTGTCTGTCGATGGACGGATCGTGCGTCCGTCTACCTTGCCTCTTATTCTCAGGCGCGTTAGGAATATCTTAGTAGCAACGAGTGTCGTCACGCCTCCACCACAGACACGTCTAACAGAGGTGCACATCAACCACACGGTGAACATCGCTGGCACATTTCCGTATCAAGAGGTTGAAGCGTGGGATGCGGTTAACCGGGGCTGGTGAGGAGAGTCTGGCAGAGCAGCAAACCCTGGTGAGGCAATTTAAACAACTATTTTGCCGCTGGCGTACAAGATATCTAGCTAATAAATGCATCTAAAGGAGTGTAACGAGATATGTTTAAATTAAATACCAGTCTGTTCGCTGCATACAAACAATCATATCCTAATTCTGGCACTCAATTAATTGTTGATTAAACCCATCATTGAGCTAATTGTAGATATTTAAGAGTTGTTAATTGTTGAAAGTAAAGATAAAACTTACATGAAGTAATTGCCTGGTGTTTTCGAGTTATGTTTCCTACATTCTGGTAGGCACTTATATTTTAACACGTTTGCAACTAATATTTAAGGCAAGACAAATAATTGTGAATATGTGCAGAGATTGTGGACAGGACAAGGAACAACCAGCAGGCACCTCTATTGTGTATGTTGTGTCTTTCAATACGACCAGACATTCAGCCTTCTACAGTTACCCCAGACCCTCAGTACTGACTGCGCAGCATTCTGGAAACCATGAAGGGTCCGTGGATGTCGCACGCATCTGTCTGTCTTGCAACAGAGTAAGTACAGTTGCTAGAAGTACTACTATATATATAGTAAGGCATATGTTGAAGTGATTTCTACTTTAGATCTGTTCCAATAGCATATACTTCATCGATGGTATGTTTACATCTGTAGACAGCTAAGGGAGTCACAGCACCGAAATATCAAACTGGCAACTGTTTAGATTAGTTTAGTAGAAAATGTTGCGCCAAAAATATAATAAATTGAATACTTTTGATCATATTTGTCAAAGGTGAATCGCTCTCTATGTGATCTCATCTGATGGTCAAGTGAGGTTTAAACAGCCGAGAGTCTCTGATGTGCCATGACAACAGCCTGGGAAAGACAGACAACCCAGAAACGAGCAACAGTCTGCCGTGGAACATACAACTAGCTAATCTCGAGACAGGCTACATAACGCGAGATGGGCAACCTGCCGTTGAAGTCAACGTATGTGTCATGCTGCCTGCAGAACAGATCAGTGGAAACCACGTTCAAAGAACGCGTCGTTTGATCAGATGTCTCAACAGATGAGATCACTTGGCTATGTGCTTGCACGTCCTGGTGAGGTGTACGGAGATGATTACCACTTTAGCAAGCATCGTACTTGGCCAGCTTCCATCAGCAGAGGCTGCAACGAGACGCTGCGCTGGCTGCTGGGACAAGTGTACAGGGAGCAGGGTGTCAGTCACGCACGGCTACGGGTCTACCTGGTCAACACAGAGTCAGCAAGGAACGAGTGACCGCCAGCCTGCGACGGCTGCAACATTACTTCCTGTCTGTCGATTGGACTGATCGTGCGTCGCGTCTACCTTGCCTCTTATTCCTCAGGCGCGCTTAGGAATATCTTAGTAGCAACGAGTGTCGTCAACGCCTCCACACAGACACGTCTAACAGAGGTGGACACTAACCACACGGTGAACATCGCTGGCATTCCGTATCAGAGGTTTGAAGTGGATGCGGTTACCGGGGCGGTGAGGAGAGTCTGGCAGACAGCAAACCCTGGTGAGGCAATTTAAACAACTATTTTGCCAGTGGCGTACAAGATATCTAGCTAATAAATGCATCTAAGAAGTGTAACGAGATATGTTTAAATTAAATACAGTCTGTTCCTGCATACAAACAATCATATCCTAATTCTGCACTCAATTAATTGTTGATTAACCCATCATTGAGCTAATTTGTAGATATTTACGAGTTTGTTAATTTGTTGAAAAGTAAAGATAAAACTTACATGAAGTAATTGCGGTGTTTTCAGAGTTATGTTTCCTACATTCTGGTACATTATATTTTAACACGTTGCAAGCTAATATTTACAGGCAAGACAATAATTGTGAATAGTGCAGAGATTGTCGACAGGACAAGGAACAACCAGCCAGGGCACCTCTATTGTGTATGTTGTGTCTTACAATCACGACAGACATTCAGCCTTCTACAGTTACCCCAGAGCCCTCAAGTACTGGACTCGCAGCATTCTGGAAACCATGAAGGTTCCTGGATGTCCACCATCCGTCTGTCTTGCAAACGAGAGTAAGTAGCATTGCTAGAAGTACTACTATATATATATAAGGCAAGCATATGTTGGAATGATTTCTACTTTAGATCTGTTTCCAATAGCATATATTCATCGATGGTATGTTACATCTGTAGACACTAAGGGAGTCGCAGCACCGAATATCAACTAGCACTGTTGAGTGTTAGTTTAGTAGAAAATGTTCCCAAAATATAATAAATTGAATAATTTTGATCCATATTGTCAAAGGTGAATCTCTCTATGTGATCTCATCTGATGGTCAAGTGAGGTTAAACAGCGAGAGTTCTCTGATGCCATGACAACAGCCTGGGAAAACAGCAACCCAGAAACGAGCAACAGTCTGCCGTGGAACATACAACTAGCTAATCTCGAGACAGCTACATAGACGCGGAGATGGGCAAGCCTGCCGTTGGGTCAACTATGATGTCATGCTGCCTGCAGACAAATCAGTGGAAACCACGTTCAAGAACCGTCGTTTGATCAGACTGTCTCTAACAGATGAGATCACTTGGCTATGTGCTTGCACGTCCTGGTGAGGTGTACGGAGTATGATTACCACTTTACAAGCATCGTACTTGGCCAGCTTCCATCAGCAGAGGCTGCCAACCAGACTCGCTGCTGCGTGGACCAAAGTGTACAGGAGGGACACAGGGTCAGTCACCACGCTTACAGGGTCTACCTGGTCAACACAGAGTCAGCAAGAACGAGTGACCGCCAGCCTGCGACGACTGCAACATACTTCCTGTCTGTCGATGACCAAAATCATGCGTCCAACGATCTGCGGCAAACATTCTTGGTCAGGGTTAATAGAGTCCTGATTGAGGAAACTTCTGCAATAGCTCAGCATACAGTGAACATTGCTGGCATACGCACAGAGAGGTTTAATGAGCCGACGCTAGTAATGCGCATACGAGCAGGCTGTGCAGCTTTCAAATCCAGGTAAGCGATAGTACTCGCACAGTTTATCTACATCTAGATTAATCTATCTACATTGTTTGTGGATGCTTGAAACAGAGATTGTGAAAAAATTCCATTACTATTTTTACTGGCATTAAATTCAATCTGTTTGAAAATTATATAAAGTGCGGGTTTAGTCTAACCAGGAGCGATTTACCACGGGCTAATTTCAATCCATATGGATATATTGTTAATGTGGCATATAATGTGGCGTAATTTCGAAAAATTACTATAATCGATCTTGCTATGTTCTTCATGTGTGGCAATGGGTCTTATTTAGTCACTTATATTTGTCTCTCCTAATGTGACTCGCAGTGTGTGTAACATTTGCGTGGCATTGTGCAGGTCAGAGAATCGTCATCAGTGATCTTAAGATATCCGGAATGTTGGTCAACAACGAACCAGTGACCCACGTTCTGTATACGATATCCCTTAACCATCAAACACTGTCGACGCTCAAGTGCTGACATCGTACATCCTGCAAACGATGAAGGGACCAGGATGCCGCCACAGTCCATCTGCATTGGAATATGGTATGCTCTGTTCTATTTTCATGTTATCTCAAGATTTTATATGAAAACTGCCACGTAATTTGCATTTAGTATGAAATAATCATAGAAAATTTATAAAAATTGGTCGCCCCACCACTGCGAGCCGTATGCTGGTGAGGTTTTGTAAAGAATGCCAGCGTACTTTCTCGTAATATTTTGTGATTTTAGATTGTAGGAAAACCATTCTTCGTCAAATGCGCTGCTATAGTTGTATGAATTTTATATAATTATAAACGATTAAATGATCCAACGTATGAAGGGGTTTTTTCGTAAGTATGGACTGAACTTAACTTTGATAAAAAACTGTAATATTAAAAGAGTGTACCTATTATCTTACCGCGTAATATTATATCTCATGTTGACGTGATGGAATCCTGCTTCCCACCTGCAGGTTAAGCCATTGTTCATCTGGCGACCGACGGCAGCCCTGAGTCTAACAGCCGCGCAGTTCGCCGACGCCATGACGGTGGCATGGCAGGGCGCCCCAACCCGCGGTGAGGCGAGAGGCCTTCCGCTGGGCCGTGCGTCTGCGCAAGCGTCACCCCGGTGGGCTACATCACGGCGGCCGGGCAGCCCGCTTGTGGCGACTCGCCTACGACGTCGCGCTGCGCGAGGCGCCGCACCGTCGCTGACCGGTGTTCGCCGCGAGCCGTCGTTCGCGCGATAAGGCGGGGCAAGACCCGCGCTCAGACACACGTCGGAACGACGCTCGCTCCGCGACGACGACGTCTATGGACCCGCGTACGCACTTCGTCGACTTTCTTCGCGGCGACCTAACCTCCGCCGACGCGGCCAATCGCTGTCAGGCGGCGTGGACGCGCGGTGTTTCGGCAGGCACGAGCGACCGCGCCCCACCCTCGCCGTCGAGGTGTACGGTTCGAGCGCAGGGCGGCAACGCGGCGCCCGGGGCTGCGCGCACGCAGGCTGCCGCGCGATACTCCTCTTCGGCGGGACGGCCGCAATTGTTGACACGCCGTCGGTCGATGCCGCCGATGACCTTGAGAAGGTCGCGGAGTACGTCGTCGGGCGGCGCCGCGCGCGGACAGCAGAGCGCAGCGGCTGCAGCATGGTGGTGACAGTCGGGAGGCAGGGTGTCCGAGCGAGATCTGAACACGGCCGTCGCAGCGAATATGCTGCGGGTTCTCTGGACCAGGTTAACCCTGGTAAGTGTGGGGTAGTCAGCGCACACGGGTGCTAGCACGGGTGGAGAAACATTTATTAGTCATACGTGCTGTTGGCTAACACAAGTAGAAACAAGTGTGTACGGGCAATCGTGGCCTAATTATACATTCGAGTAATTAATCTAAAAAAACAATTGAGACTCGTGCATGTTTTCAGCAAATATGTATGCATATATGGTTAGTTCCTGATTAATCTAGGTTTCATCAAGGTACAATTCGTTTTTTCAATAACGATAAATGATGATTCACTTATAAGAGTGGCATGCATCGTATTTTTAATTTCCTAGTAACATTTCTTCCTTAAATTTAATTTTCTGTTCATTTAATTCTGTTTCCATTTTTTTATATTAGGATTGCCGTCTGTAGCAAGAACAGATCTGTTTTGGTAGTAATCACTCATAAGACAATGTATTTTCTTTTAACAGGCGCACAGTACTGTTATAAACAGCACGTTAGCATGAATACCTAGCAGGTAAATACCGATTGTACTGAATTTTCCCCTATTGTTTTCCAGGCAAGACTTTCAACGTTTACAGCAAAATACCTACAGGTAAATATGATCGTAATGAATTTTCTCGATTGTTGTTTCTCAGGGAAGACTTCAACGTGTACATCACTACACTTCGACCAGCAGCTGAGCAGCCTGGTCGCCCCCGTCATCGCTGCATACACTACGACGTCGAAGACGCAGAGAGGCCGGGGAGCGCTGACCGATCCCGACGACGACGCGCTAACGATGATCATCGTCAGACTGCTGTCCCGCCCGACCTGCACTCTCTGCACGAGCGAACAGGTATGTGCAAGCATATGCAGGTATTGCAGGTATCACAGGTATTGCAGGTGTTGCAGGTATCGCAGGTATTGCAGGTGGTGCATGTATTGCAGGTATCACAGGTATTGCAGGTGTTGCATGTATTGCAGGTATTGCAGGTATCGCAGGTATTGCATGTGTTGCAGGTATCTCAGGTATCGTAGGTATTGCAGGTGTTGCATGTATTGCAGGTATCGCAGGTATCACAGGTATTGCAGGTATCACAGGTATTGCAGGTATCACAGGTATCAAGGTACGGCAGGGTATTTGCAGGTATTGCAGGCTAATTTGCAGGTATTGCAGGTTTACATGTATGTGCGAGGCAGGTTGCAAGATCTCGCAAGAGTAAAAGCGTTCGC